GACACCCTTGCATGACCCCCAGCTCTCACTTCTGGTCTGTGATGATGTAGCCATACTCGTCTAGTGGCTGCATGCCCTGTTGTGCCCCACTGTCCTTCATCTCTGTGTAGCTCTTCTTCTCCACCACAATGTTCTTTCCGGGGCTGAGTGCATCCCCACTGTGTCCCTGCTGTGGCTCAGCCCGGGGAGCTGGTGAGGGTGCTGCCCTGCCCTTCGTTCCATCCCCTGGGGAGCTGCTGGCTGGGATTTTGGGGGTTGGCACTGCAGAAGAAGGGGGCACTGGCTCCTCTCCATGCTGCATGTTCCCCTCCATCACCTGAAGGGAGAAAAAAGGAGAAGCTGGAATCTCTGAGGAAAGCCTTGGGGAAATGTCTCCTCCCCCTCATCCCACCTGTGCCATGGCACCTCCTCCAGCATCACTCTGCTGCAAACCCACCCGTTTTGCTGTGGGCACCTCAGGGCCAGCAACACCTGGAAAGGAGAGAGACAGAGATCCTGCAGCACCCACCCCAAAAGGCAACATCCCTACCCTGAAACAGGGCATCTGCTGCTGCCAGCCCCTGCTTGTCCCATCCCTGCACCCAGCTCACCAGAGCTCTGGAGCAGCTGGAGGAGGGTGGATAGGCTGCTTATCTGCTGGGGACTCAGTTCTGGCAGTCCCAGGCCATAGCTGGCCAGGAGAGAAGCCAGTCTCTTCAGGGCAGCATCTGCAAGAGGATGTAGCATCAGGTTGGGTGCTCTGCATCCGCAGGGAGACCAGGGGCCAGGGATGAAGCAGATGGAGCAAGTGGGGTTGCAGGGACATTCTGCCCATGGGCATGCACCCAAAGAGGAGGGAAAGTGTGAGCCACGAGGAACTCGTGGCTGTGGGCACAGGACAGGGACAAGGGTTGTGCCTGGCTGGAGAACAAGGTACCCGTCTGTGCAGAGGGTGGCTGGGCAGCCAGGGGTGCTTGCTGCTCCCTCTCCTCTACGTTTCTGTAGTCACTGGGGAGCCGCAAGCTGTGCTGGAGCCTGGTGCTGGCAGGGTCCGGGCGGCCAGCTTTCTCTCTGGGCAGGGAAAGTATGCCCAAGTCCTGGAAAATATGCCCCCCATCCACTCCTGGCTGCCCGCCATAGGAGGGCACAGGGCCAGCCCCAAAGAGGGTCTGGGCAGGGACCCGGCCCAGCAGCGAGGAGGTGTCAGAGCTCTGCCTGGCTGAGCCGCTGGGATGCTGGTGAGCACCATCCTGATAGCTGAACTGCAATCAGAACACACGGCAAACCCCACAGGTCCCCTGTCACCCCACGGTGGAGGCAGGGGGTACCCCAGCACCCGCAGGAAAGTGCTGGGAGTGCAGCAGCTCCCTGCCAATCTCTACTTTTCTGCCCAGGAGAAGGCTTACCCCCAGCTTACCTTGTGGTAGGAGTAGGGATTGAGCAGAGCCTCCTCGTAGGCCAGCTGGGGTGGGGAGGGCAGCAGGACGTGCTCCAGGTACCGCTGCACCAGCGGGGAAAGCAGCAGCGCTGGGGGCTGCTCCACATGCTGAGCTGCGGGCAGGCCGGGGTCCGGGGCCAGCGGCGCTCGCCGGGGCTCGCTGCGGAGAGGCAGGAACCTCGAAGGCAAACAGCGCTGGGGTAACTCACCTGGGAAAGGGGCACGTCCCTCCCCTAAACCCTCCCGATCTGGGGGACAAAGCCCTCGCTGCTCCACTGAGCTCTGCCAGCGCTGTCCTACCTGTCCCTGGCCACCGGCTCCAGCGAGGGCGGCAGGCGGAGACGGGGGATGCGCTCCATCTCCTGAGAGATCACATACTGGGTGATGCCGTCCTGCCACGACAGCCCTGCCATGGGAGGAGGCTATGAGACATGGAGGCAGCCTGGGAGCCGTGGTGTGAGTGCAGGGGATGCCGTCCTGGTATTCTGACCCTGTGTCCCATGGCCGGGGCTTGACCCCATGCCTCCTCAGCCCACCCGGGCCAGCAGGACCACAGACAGCTCTAGTGCCACTAGGCAATTCTACCTGACATCCCCTCCCTGCAGGGTCCCAGGGACTTCCCCCACGCTCCCCCGCTCACCTTGTGCCATGAGATGCCGCAAGACATCCTGCAGGCGCTGGAGCACGGGAGATGTGACCTGAAAGTAGGGTCTGTCCTGCACGGAGCCCACCTGGCATTGCCCAAACAGCCCATCTGCCAGAGAAGGAAGAGAGCGGGACCAGATGAACAAACACCCCGATGTGAGGCTCTCCGGGCACAGCCCCACCTTTCTCCTGCCATTCCTCCTTGCACTGCACCCTAGGCTCCCCTGCAGGGCATCCCTGTACCCTTCACACACACGTGGGAAGGGAGAGGGGATCCCTGCACCCCTGCTCGCCACTTACCCTGCACACACACCTCCTGTGGGGAGCACAGCCTTCGGTCAAACAGGCAGCCTGGCACAGACAGACAGACAGACAGACAGACCAGTCAGCACAGCCTTCAAGGGGGACTCCAATGGAAACTGCTCATCACCAGCTGCTTGGGGGATCCCTACGCTCCAGAAAAGCGGCACAGGGACGCAATGTGGTGATGGTGGGAGGGGACACAGCTTTGTAGCCCATGGCAGAGGCTCGGTGCCAGTCTGTTCTGCCCCTCAGAGACAAGATGGGGGCTGTGTAGAAAGTATGCCCTTGGCTCTGGAGAGTGGGGAAGGCCTGGAGTTTTTTTTGGGGTGATGGCAGTTAGGAAGGTAAGACTGAGGCAGCAGAGACCCGCAAAACCACATCTGCCGCCCTCCTACATGTGGTACTACGAGGAAGGGATGCAACCCAGTGACACGGGAATCCACTCTCCCTGCGAGGCGGACCCCAAAGCACGGATGTAGTGCTCTTGGGGGTGTGGGGTGTGTACCTCTCCAACCCCTTCGGCGGGCAGCACTTGGGCAGGGGGCGGCTTCCCCCTTCCTTTCCCCCCCCGTTTCGGTCCAAGACCGTCAGCAGCGAGACGGCAGCAGGCGATGACTCAGCCCCGGATGGCAAGGAATGAACGAGAAAACAACCGGGGGGAGGGGAGGGAGGGGCCCGTCAAGCCCGCCGCGGGGGAAGGGGGCTAGTGGGGATGAGGGTCCTCGGAACCCCGGCACCCCCGGCCGGCGTCCCCCGGGGCGGAGGCCCCGCCGGTGCGGGGCACGGGACCCACGGCCGGGGGAGACCCCGGGGACGGCGGCAGCCGGGCCGGGCCGGGCGGCAGGGCCGGCGCTGTCCGCGGTGCTGAAGCGGCGCCGCGTTCTCCCGCCGAGACGCCGCGCTCCGCCGGGAGGGGCGGTGGCCCCGGCTCCGGGAGGCTCCTCCGGCCAGGGGAGTGCTCGGCCGCAGCCGTCACGGCACCGGCACCAATCCCTGCTTGCTCCCGGGGGCAGCGGACCCCGCGGTCCAGCCGGATCCACCCCGGCACTCCCGGGCCGCTGGAGGACGAGGTGCGCAGCAGCCTCGGGCGCCCGGTAGTGAGTCAGCGGAGCCCGGGCCGTGCCGTGCCGTGCCGTGCCGGTGGGCTGCAGCCCTGCTATCGACAGCGACACTCGGGTCCCCGAGAGCTCCAAGCACGGCCCACACGGACCGACTTGGAGAAGAGCGGGTGCACCGGCCCGGGCGGCCGCACTTACAGGCGGAGGGCGGCTAAAGGGCGGCACGGTCTCGGAGCAAGCCACGCTCACGGCCGCGGGCCCGGGCTCCCCATCCCTGCTGCAGCCCCGGGCACCGGCTTTGGCCCGGGCATGAGCAATCACCGTTCTGCTCCCGTCCCGTAGCTGCTGGCTCTCGGGCCCGGCGGGGCGGCACCTCTACAGCCGGCAGGGTGTCCCGGGTTTAGCACACCCACCGGCCCGGCAGTCCCGGGAGAGCGGCGCCCCCGGTGCCAATGGCGCATCCGCGGTGCCGGTCCCGGGCCGCCCAGTCCCGCTATCCGCCAGGGGCCGGCGTCGCCGCTGCACGCCGTGACAGCACCCTACAGCGGCGGAGACCGCACCGGCCGCGGAGTCCCGTGCCCCGCCACTCCCCGGGAATCTCCTTCCGGCCCTCGCGCAGCCCAGGGCAAAGCCGCCCTGCCCGGGGTCGCGGTCTCACCGTGTGCGGCGGTGGCGGCGGCGGCGGCGCCGTCACGCAGCTGCCCGCGGCCGGCCAGGAGGAGGAGGCAGAGGAGCGCCCGGAGGAGCCGCCGCCCCATGCTCCGCTCACGGCCGCACCATGGCGCACCCGCCGGCCGCGCCCCCGCCGCCGCCGCCAACCCGCGCCCCGCCGCGCCGCGCGCCCCGCCCGCCGCCGCCGCCCCGCCAATGGCGCGCTGCGCGCTGCCGCGGCGCCCCGCCCCCCCGCGCCGCGGCCAATCAGAGACCCGCGCGGCTGCCCTCAGCGCCGCGCTCACGCCCCGCGCTGTCCGGCGGGGCCAATCACGCCTCGCTCCGGGGAGAGGCGGCCGAGCGCCCCGCCAATCGCCGCGTCCCCGGGGGCGAGTCACGCCCCCCCGGGGGTGTGCCACAGCGCCAGCAGCGCCTCCGCCAATCAGCGCCCGCCCCTTCCCTGCCCTGCGGCCGCACTGGCTCCCGCCTGGGACACGCCCCTGAGAGCCGCCCAATGAGCGGCGAGCGCGGAGCCGCACCCTCGTGCCCCGCCCGGCGGCACCGCCCGGGCATCGGCCGCGGGCAGAAGGCAGCCCCCGGCCCGGACAGGGACCCCCTGTACCGGCCCCGGCGAGCAGCTCCGGGTCTGGCGCCGGCAGATCCCTGCGCACACGGCCGTAGGCTCGTTCCTGGGGAAAGGGGCGGCCCCAGCGCTGCACCAGACCGGACATCCTCCCACCAGCTCTCCCTGAGTAAAAGCTGAGCCCTCCCTGTTCGGCCCCTTAGCTGGGACCCCCAGCACCCCTCGACAAGGGATTGTGGATGGGCCTTGCTCACGGTTCCGGAGGAGAGCACAGGTGGGAGCGATGGGAGTCCCCTGGGGGAGCTACATACGTCAGCCCCAGCCACAGTCATGGACCACTCGCTGGTGAGACAGAAATGCTTTAATGGCCCCAGGACTAAACCCACTGCTACGCCCTCCCCGCCATGTTCAGTCGACCACCAGGCTGCTGCTGACCGTCGGCAGGAGCTCGAAGAAGCCCTGGAAGAAGAGAGGTTGTCAGGGTGGGCTGAGCAAGGCGGTGCAGGGTGGGGGGACAGGCGGTGGGGGGACAGGCAGTGGGGGCAGGCAGCAGCTCCCTGTCACAGCGTCATAGCAGGCAGCTACTTGCAGAGAGCAGGACCACGTCGCCATAGTAACTCATCGCTGACTCAAGGCTAGCACCGGTTGCCATAGGAACTACTTAGGGATGACAGTCACTGGGGAAGGCTGGGATGAGAGGGGGCCCCTCCGGAAGCAGCCAGTACCTGAGCTGCTCCAGAGAGCTGGGGAACTCTGTGGGATGGCTGGGTTCAGCCCCAAAGCAGGGATTGGTTGGGGACATGGGGATGTGGGAGATGTAGAGGAGCAGGGAGCGAGCTTTAGCACAGGATGGGGGACACAGGGCTCACCTTGAAGAGGGTGATGCTCTGCAGCACCCCCGAGGTGCAGCACATCTCCCGGATGGAATGCATGGCCAGCTGGGGGCAGCCAATGTCCAGCACACGCAGCCCCAGGCGGGAGGCCAGGATGGGGCCGATGGTGGTGCCGCAGGGTGTGTCGTTGCGCACCATGAACTCCTGCACGGGGGCAAGACCTCAACAGCTCCACACGCTACCCCACGGCCTCCCACACGGGCCCTCAGCCCTGAAGGGAGGTGACCTGGGGCAGGGAAGCAGCACCAACCCATGCCAGGGTTCAAAGAACGCTCCAGAGATAGGGCACACTCAGGCCAGGCTCCATTCTGCTCACCAGCCTGCTCCCTGAGGCAGTCCTGGGGCTGGAGCCTCACAGCAACAGGCAGCACAGAGACCCCAGTGGGGTCAGACATGGTAACAGGGGTGGAGCTTGGGCACAGGCTCCCTCTGATAACCCAGGGGCAGGGCTGCAGCCCAAACTCCTGCTGTTCAAGGAGGGCTCACCCAGTCCGGCTCACCTGCAGAGGGACACCCACGCGGGCAGCAATGTCCCGGATCACAGCTTCAGTGACAGCTGTGGAGGCGTAGCGCTGGTTGCTGTTCACCTTGATGACAGGGCCCTGCACAAAGGAAGGCAGGCCTGTGATGGGACCCAGGAACAGTCAGTGGCCCTGGAAACACCCATGCCCAGGCAATGCCCAAAATATCATCCATTCTCCCTTTCCTGGGTGGGCCCATGGGGATGGGGACAGTGTTTCCATGAAGACAGTCCCAGCTCAGAGCAGGGAGGAGCTCTACGGACAACACTGGGATCCCAAGTAATTAACATCAGACATGTGGCATAGTCAAACCCCATTGCAGGATAAATGTTTTCCATTTGAATGCTGGGCAGCAGCACTGCAGGACAGACAGACAGCAACCATCCTAGAGCCAAGCAGAGGGCTGCCCTCACCTTGTGGAAGGCTGGACGATGATTCTCCTCATGCTTGTCCCTGCAAAAGAGAAGTGTTTCACACTCTTACTCATACCCTGCTGCAACAAGGACTGTTGTGTCTGTACCACCTGGGGAGTGATGGGGACACATCCCACAGGTGGCAGGGCAGGCTGTCAGGCCTGTGGCACGTCTCAGACTACTCACACATAATTGGGGTGCACAGCATGGGCCATATCAGCACTGATCATGTAGGACTTGGCCACTGCCTCCTCGAAGGCTGTCAGGTTGTGCGGCGACGCAGAGATCCGGCGCAGCACCAGCTCCGTTAGCAAGGACTCTGCACCCTGTGCACTCTCTGACCCTACCTGCCAAGGATCACCATCAGCACAAGCCTGCAGCACCACAGGGGCCACAGGAGTGACAGGCTGCTCCCAAAGGCCAGCCAAGCAGCTTCCTGCCACACCAGCGCTTCCCACCCCTGCCTGGGCCATGCTCCACGTGGCTGTAAGCAAATCCCTGCTTCCTCCACTGGGCTGTGGGATCTCTCTCCTGCTAGGATGCTCTCTCCAATGCTAGGCATGGCTGGGGAAGAGCAGAGAACATGGAGCACCTTCTGGTGCCAGCCACCCCACGGCTGTGCCCCTCGCTCACCTCCTCGTTGTCATAGAGCGCGATGAGACGCACATTGGGCTCCTCGGAGAGGGACGAGGGTGCTGCACATGAGTCAATCAAGGCCTGCAGGATTAGGGGGGAATGGACACCAGCATGAGTGCCACTCCATCCTGAGAATCTCAGGACTGAGCCATCAGGAAATCTCCCAGGAGGGTCCAAAGCATGGAGGAAGGATTTGTGGGCACACACATTGCCCAGCGACAGCAAGAGTCACCCCTGGGAGCTGCTGGGAATCCCACACACCCAGCAAAGGGGGCATCCAACCCCAGGTCCTCCAACAATCTAGACCCATTCCATGAGAACACAACTCCCTGCAGAGCCTTTGGCCACCCCAAAGCTGAGCTGGGGTGCACGGGGGCCACGCTGCAGTCTCCAGGTTGTTTCCCCTCTCACCTGCAAGGCGCAGTAGCAGCTGTGAAGGTTGTCCAGACGTGGGGAGAAGATGAACTCATCGAAGGCACCACCCAGTGTCTGCAGAGAGCCAAGAGGAGTAGGGCACAAGCTCTGGGTCACCAAAAAGCACCCACCACTGGGTTCCCATTCCAGTACCCTTATCTCTGCCCCTCAGGAGCAGCTCCCTCTAGTTCCATTCAGCTCCCAGCCTGGCATGCCCCAGGCAAAGGACATGTGGCAGGTAACACGGTAAGACCTGTGTAGTGCCAGCCTGCAGGCTGTGAGCAGACAGAGGGAGGTTCCTGCCCTTACTCACCGCTGGCTGTGTATCTGCCAGGCATAGCTCCATCTCCACAATCTGCTCTGGTTTCACCCCCAGCTGGGGGCAGATAAGGGAAAGCAGAACAGGGCTGTGCCGCTCTGCCTGGGAAGAAAGCAGAGCTGTGGGCAGGGCAGGCAGTGGATGGCAGGAGAAACTCCTGGTTTCCCTTTGCAAAGCTGTCCCTGACCCTGCTTATGTTGGCAGAGTCCTCTCTCCTACTAACATCTCCCATGTTCAAGCTCCCACCTCAGCCAGGACAGCTCTATGCCCTGTGCTAGCCCCCCTCCCTGCCCTGCCTCCCCAGGGAGATGCACCCTTCCACACTGGCTGCAGGCAAGGGTGAGAGGAGAGAGATAGCTGAACAGATGTGCCATGGGCACAGCTGGGAGGCAGAATGGAAGGTTACCAGCAGTCCACAGGGAGAAGGGGAACCTGGTGGCAGGTCCCTGAGGACTCAAAATCAAAGGTGGCAAGTATGAGGTCCTTGCAAGTGTCCCTGCTGATCCTTGGCACACAGCTCACCTGGGATGCAGCACTGCAAGGTGTGGACTCCATAAGCACCTCCTTTTCCAGCTCCTCCTGCACTGCAGTGGCCAGAATGGGAACCCTGCGGGGGTCAGCAACATTAGCTCCCAGAGCTTTGCTCACCTCACCTGCTTGGGTCACACACTGCCAACCCTTCCTGGTGTGTTTGCCTTGCTCCTCCAGGGAATGACTGATATGCCAAATGGAAGAAGAATGCACATTTTAAACACAAATCTATTGTGCCACCTCAGGACACTCCAGTGTCCTTTCCCAAATGCTTGGATGCTTGGAAGCATCTCCTGGAAGTACTCTGGGGGGCTAAAAGCCACTGTAGATCTCCCCACTGCAATGAGTGGCTGCCAAAGGGAGAGCTAAGGCGGGGCTTTGCTCTAGCTGGGTCCCAGCCCTCCCAAGGGCTGGCCAGGAGTCGGGGCTGAGCCAGGCCTTACAGGTGGTGCTCAGTGTTGGGCCCAAAGCTCTCATTGATGCTGCGCTGCAGATGGATGGCCAGGTGAGGAATGCGGAGGATGGGCCGCTCCACATGTACCAGGCGCTGCTCCAGGCGCCCCGTGGCTTGGTCCTGAAACACAAGGAGGCCTTCTGGGGCCAGGCCTGCAGAGCTGAGAGGCTGCAGCAGGTCCCACTCTGCGTGGGGGTCAGCGACCCAGTGCCAGAGACACACAGCCATCCAACCATGCATGCCCTAAATCAGACTCACCTTTATGATCACCCTCCCGGCCACGGTGAGGTCACGGTCGAACCAGGTGTTCCAGATGCCCCCTCCATAGGTCTCCACTCCGACTTGCACTATGCCCACCTGTCCCCGCTTCGAGCGACGCTTCACCTGGACAGCAGCAGAGGTGTCACTGCTGGCACCATGAAGCGCTGGGGAACGGGCAGCTGGTGGGAACTGGGCAGCTCATGCCCAGAGCCTCACTGCTGATGCTGCCAGCACAGGGTGCTGTGAGGGGCTTTGCAGGACCAGGGACACAGAAGAGACAGCAGCAGGCAGAGTCTGCTCTGGATGACACATTTGGAAGGTGCAGGGACCCAACAATGATGCTGCAGGGCACAGGGGTAGTCAGCATAGTTTCTGCTTGTGGCATGAAACTGGAGGAACCCAGAGAAAGACTCAGCAGCCAGCCGGGAGACCTTACCCTGAGGCAGGGGCTGTCGGTGTGGGCTCCTAGCAGGCTGAACCCATTCCCGGGCTGGAACTGGCCACCGACGGCAAAGGCGATGAGGGTGGAGTAGTTCCTGGTGATGAAGTACTGGAGGCAGAGGGGCAGAGGTGAGATGCCTCGTCCACCCCGGCTCCCGTTGCCCCACCCCAGCCGGGCCCACCTTCTGCGCCGGCCGCACGTCCCAGTGCTCCGTCTCCTTCAGCTCCTGGAAGCCGGCCTGCAGTAGCCGGCTGCGGCATTCGGCCACCACTGAGGGGAAAAGAGCCGTCAGGGCCGCCCGCGGGAAGACGAACAGAGCCGGGGAGGGGACTGGGCAGGCGCTCACCGTGGTACGGAGACGGACTGCGGTTCACGAACTTCACCAGTTCCTGCGCCGCCGCCTTCGAGCCCTGCGCCGCCGCCTGTGGGCACCGCCGTCACCGCACATTGCCGGCAAAACCCCGCCCCGGGCCAGGACCCCCGCGGGACCGGGGACCCCATCCCGGGCGGCACCGACCCGAGCCCGTCCCGCGCCCGCCGCCCGCCCGCTACCTGCATGGCCGCCACCGCCCCGCGCCGGCCCGAACAGCGCCCCCTGCTGGTCTGGAGGAACGCGCGGCCTGCGCCCGGATTTGGAACTCTGCATCCTGCAATCCACACCCCGCAATCCGCACCCTTGAACCCGGCAATCCACACCCTGCACTCTGTAATCCACACCCGCAATCCACACTCTGCACCCTGCAATCCGCACCCTGAACCCTGCAATACACACCCTGAACCCCGCAGTCCGCACCCTGAACCCCGCAATCCGCACCCTGCATCCTGCAATCTGCACGCGGCCCTGCATCCCGCAGTCTGCACCCTGCACCCCGCAATCCGCACCCTGCACCCCACAATCCGCACCCTGCACCCCGCAATCCGCACCCCACAATCCACACCCTGCACCCCGCAATCTGCACCCAGCCTTGCACCCCACAATTCACACCCCGCAATCGGCAATGTGCATCCTGCGCCCCGCGATCCACACCCTGCGCCTCCCACACTGTACTCCCTGCCATGCACTTTGCACTCGCAGCCCGCACCCCTCACCCTGCACTCTGGCCCAGGCCAGGCAAACACAGAGCCTGACAAGGCTGGGGTACAGCTGAATTAAGGGTGGGTGGAAGAGGGACACAGCCAGGAGGGACTGGGATGGGAAGCAAGGAGCAGGAACAGGCTCCACAACGATGGTCACCCATCCTGCCCCAGTGTGCCACAGCTGCAGGGCTAACTGGGGGAGCAGAGACTGCCCCAGAATGGGGTTGGCCTGCCTGCAGAGGGGTGCAGGTGCACAGGAAAACACAGTCGCTTCTCCAAGGCTAGGTATATTTGGAGTGGGGTGGGTCACAGCCAAGATGCAGCCCCCCATCGTTGTTACTCCCCTGCCTTGGCACTGCCTGGCCCCCACATGAAACAAGGCACAAACCCGTGGTCCCATGTTGGAGGCAAATGTCTCTGAGCAACAGCAATGCACTGGGTTCTCAGTGTTGGCACATTGGCAAGGCAGCACCCAGGCTGCCTGTCAGCCCCAGGAGCACTCCCAAGGGATAGGACCCCTTGGTCTTGCATGGATTAGGGTGCTTCCCACCCTTGTCTGGGTTCCCTTCATGGGCTGGGTGCAGCAGCAAGGTTTTGGGTTTCATCAGTCTTCATGCATCATTTCCCAGCAGGGTCCTTTCTTCCTAGCAATGGGTATGTGGCCTTAGGAGATGGACGTGGCAGCCTGTGAGTGCTGCATGGGGCCCAGGTGTTGGGTGCCAGCTGGATTCCCAGCTCCTGAGTCACCCGTGTGGGCACCCTGTTAGCTGGAGACGCTGTCTGTGTTCTGAGGACTGGAAACTGGTGGTCCTGCTGCCCCTGACCCTGTGACCTGTCGTGCTGAGAGCTCCTGACAGCTCTGGATTTATGCTCCCAGCCCCCAGCACCTGCCTCTCCCTACCACCAAATGGGAACGAGCCTTCCCACTGCCTGGCACCCTGCAAACAGACAGCTGGAGGGTCTCCATGTCAACCACAGCACAACACAAGGCCAGATCCCCCCCGGCCAGGCTGGGAGCACCCAGCACTCCAGCCCAGAGCTGGGATACGTGTGTCAAAGGCACTTGTGTGCCAGGCAGCCATCCCCACGCTCCTCCTGCCAGCATCACCCCCCTGCTGCCAGAACCCAGCTCAGGGCCAGGAGCTCTTGAATGGTTCCCAGGCTGTGCCTGAGGGACATCTGAGGACATTTAGAGCTCTGGCTCCCCAGCGGTGGATGCCCAGAGGGGATGGGTATCCAGCGGGTGCTCAGGATGGATGGTTCCCGAGGTGTGTGTGCAGGGGCAGGGCGTGCCTGCCTCGGGGCTGTCAGAGCAGCCGTGAGTGGCAGGGCCGGGTGTGGCCTCTGTCCAGCCCCGCCGCTGTGAGCAAAGGGCAGCGCCTCGGCGTGCCACAGCTATTCCCGGCACAGCGGGACTTCCAGAAAAAGCTCCTGATGGCTATATCCGGGTGGGCTCTGATTCACCCCGGGCTGGGTGCCAAGGGCTGCACAGCACCTGCTATGGCTGCCCCCTACCCCACCACCGTGCTCCTGGAAAGACAGTGCTACTGTCCCCCATCCCGTGCTGCCCCACGGATCGTCCCGAGCAGCAGAGAGCCACAGGCAGCCCTTCCAAAATGGCATCAGCTCCTCCTCTGCATGCATGCACCCTGCTGCTGGGCTCATGTGTGCCCAGGGGTGCCTGGCAGGGAAGGGCCAGCAGGGACAGGGCACCGTGGTCCTTCCTGTGTCCCCTGGCAGCCCAGGTGGGGTTCTGGGCAGGCTTTGTAAGAGAAGTGTTCCCTGCTGGCAGCAGGCTCTGGGGATGGGCAGGCAGCGCTTAGTCCTCCCTGCTGGAAGGGGTTAATGGAAAGATGGCCCAGGACAAAGAGTGTAAACACAGCAGAGCTCCAGGAAGTGCCACCCCCTTCTCGCAGTGCCTGCCAGGCTGCCGGACCCCCCCTTGCCAGCCCTGCCAGGATGAGCAAAGGGATGGCATCCATCGAGGCAGTCCCCCGCATCCCGGCCCACGTGTCTGAGCATGGGAAAGTGAAATCAGCGCCCAGGAATTGCTGGAGGCTGAGCGAGCGGCCGCCATGCCTTACGTGAGCCACCAGCGATGCAGCGGGTGCTGCTACCTCATCTCACTGGCATGGCTGATGCTATCGAGGCCTGCAGCATCCCCATGGACACTCAGCCGCTCCGTCATCCCCACGGCCACGTCGATCACAAGGGCAGCTGGGCAACTTTGGCATCTCCCCAGCACTGGGCAGGTGAATGTCCCCATGGACCATGAGGGCAGGACACCCTTTAGCCTGCCCCTAGGCAGCAGGGATGGGGGAACATCCCCAACATCCCCATGGACCACAGGGCCAGCTGTAGAGGAGTGATGGAGCAGGGGTATGCGTCAAGCAACTGCATGGACATGGAAGTAGATGGCTTCACCCATCACCTACACAACTCACCAGCACCCCCAGCATGCTCGTCACACATGGGGGCAACAACTTGCCCAGAGGACATACAAAGACCGAGGGAGGTGATCAAACACCTCCCAGCACCTATACAGGTTGCATCTGGACACCCCTGGTATCCATGCTTGCCGTGGGGGCATGCAGGCACCCCCAGCATTCTGTGCCACTCACAGACAGGACAATGCCCTCAGCATCCCCATCACCTGGGGACATGGGGGTGGGGTCCAGGAGCAAACAGGCAGTCTGTGCACCCCCTGGTCCTGAGCTCTGGAATGGGCAAAGGCATGGGGGCAGCTGGGATGAACAGTGGGTGTGGGAGGACTGGAGACTTTACTCACCAGCTCCTGGGACCCCATCAGGCCAGGTTGGGCCTTGGTCCAGGCAGGGAAGGAGAACCACCTCCTATTTAGACAATAGCATGCACCATGGATCCGTCAGCACTGGGGAATGGGCCACACACTCCTTCCCTCTTAGGGTAAAGGCGCCTGGGAGGCTCATGGCTGTAAAAGGAGCGGGATGAAGGAAGACAGCCAGGGGTCAGGAGGGAGGGGAATGGACACCCCCGCTGCTTCATTCCCATTCTCATTCCCGTTTCTCAACTCACCCTTAAGCTAAGGCCAGGCATAAGGGGGCATTGGGTCCTGGTGGCAGGGCACAGGTACAAGGAAGGGCTAGCACCCTGTCCCCACATCCTGTCTAGCTTCAAGCCCCAAGACACCCACAGCCCAAGGAGGCTGTGCTGGGTTTAAATCCTGGGGGAATGGCAGGGAGGGAGGGCCAGGAGGGAGGGGCGGCTGCAGGATGCAGCTGGCTTTGCTCACAGGGATGTCATGACCAGAGGGAGTTGTTTGACATTCCAGCTCCAAATGCCTTCCCGGCAGCAGTCTCATCCAAGATTTGATGGAAACTGGGACCAGGCCAGTGCGGGGGTTCAGGAGCCACTTCCCAGGCTCCACTGGTCTGGGTCAGCCCGGCCTGGGATGGAGCTGTGGGGAGGCTGCACGGGCTGGACAGGACGGGAGGCAGCCCTGCTCTTCTGGCCTCCTCAGCCTCCTCACTTTCTGCAGCCTCTGGGTCTGTAGCTGGCACAGAGTGTTTGGCACCTTGTCCGTGGGACTCAGGCAGGGTCTCTGGTCCTGCTCTTCATCCCTCCTTCCTGGCATGCTGGGTCCCCCAAGCAGACGGGGATTTCCTAAGAGGTTTGTCCGCCCTCTGCAAGACGTGGGGCCCCTGATTGCTCAGAGCCATGCCGGAAGGCTGTCACCACAGCTGAGGAAAGGCCACTTCAAACAGGGCAGGGTCAGGAGGATACTCCCAATTAACCCCTCTGCGCTGCTTCCCCTCCAAGCAGCAGTGCCCAAGAGTGCATTTCCCCTCCCTGGAGCACCCCAACCCTGCCCCCACCTGCTCTGTGGGATGAGGATGGGAACAAGGGCTACCCAGGCCTGAGATGGGATTTGCATCACCTTTCCATTACCTGAAACCTACCAGGGCAGGGTGCCAGGCACTTCTGGACACAGTATGCCTGAGTCCTATCCTCCCCACAGTCCCAGCTGTCACAGCAGTGGGGTGGGTCATGGAAAGGGATGGCTGAACTCTGTTCCTGGTGCTGTGCTGTCCCAGATGCCCCTCACAGGACACCCACCTGCCCCTCTGCACTCCAGCCAAGGGCCGCTTGCTGGAACTTGCGGCACGGGCAGGGCACACGTGCGGCGCTCTGGGATGTGCAGGGCATACTCGGAATGGGGCCAGAAGGAGGAAGGATGCTGTCTGTTTTTCCATCTACTCTCCCCCCACAAGCCCCCCCTTTCTTCCATTCTCTCCGTGAGCTGGGATGAAACAACCTCATCTGGAAATACCTTCCCTTTTAAAGGCAGGCTCCTCCAGGCAGCTTGTACTCCCTGGGAAGACGCTACATCACTCTGCAATGGGAGGCTGGGAGAGGCTCCAGGGATGGGGGCTTGCAGGAGCAGGAGGGATGCAGGGCACTGAGCACCTGCATGTCTGTGGGGCCCACCCAGACTTTAGCTGGCTGCCCAAGTGACATGGAGCAGGGAGGCAGCAGGGGGGAGTTCCTCCCAGAGCCAGGGCAGTGGAGAATGCTTCCATGAACAAGCCCGAGCCTTCGCCTGATTCTGCCATGGGTGAGCCATGGCATTGCTTGGCTTCTGTGTTACAGCCAGGACAGAAGGCTGGGGGTGCAGGGCCAGGCAGGGCTGAGTGCTGTCCTGCTGCTGAGTCACCCTGTGCCCAGTGGCACAGCGGTCCCCTCCAGCAGGGCCTTCAGGGACAAAGGCACTGGGGCTGAGCCAGCTGACGTCAGCCAGAACAGCCCAGCTTGGGCAGAGCGGGGGGTCCCCAGGTGTGCTGGAGGTCTGGGAAGGAGGGGGTGCTGCCCAGGCAAGGGAAGCCCTCAGGAGGGTTTCCCCCAGCACAGGCACCCTCCCTCAGGATGTTCTTTTCAGCTGTTGTGGGTTTGTGCAGGCCCTGAGGGTCCCTAACCTGATCCAACACTTGTCCAGGAAGCTGCAGTGGGGCTTTTCAGATGAACTTAGAAATTGCCCATTCTGGGAGTTTCTGGGGAGCTGGGCTGGGCTGTCTGATCCCCAGTGTACTTCCTGCCCAAGGGGGAGACTGAGGAGACAGGGCAGAGCCTGCTGTGCCTTGGGATAACCTGGGGACCACGTTCTGCTCTTAGGGTGATAGGGATCAGGGAGGGGCTAGGGCTGCTCCAGGCAGGGTCCCCATCCAGCTGTGCTCTCCACACGCCTGGAGCAAGAAGGGTTAACAGAGTGCCTCCCCCACTATAAATACCACGTTTGTGTGTCCCACACCCCACGAGTATGAGCTGGGAAGGCTATTTTGGTTGAGTGCCTGCTGCTTTGGGAATGTGCCGGAGCGAGGACAGGGGCTGACGTCACCGTCACTGGGGCTCGGACCCAGCACCTGCTCGGGGTCACTCAGCAGCACTCCAAAAGCACCCAGACCCTGGCCAGTGCTCAGCCCCCCATGTCAGAACGAGGGTTTAGGTGGTGGGTCAGTACAAGTACACTCAGGGCAGGGCTGCCCCCACATCAACCCCTCTCCAGGCCCTTCCTTGATCACTCTCTGGATGGGAGTCTGGCCCCACATGGAGACCTGAGCCTGGTGCTCTTGGCAGGGGGTGGGTCAGGGCATCATCGGGGCCGTTTGGGGCGCTCAAGACCAATTTGGGGATCATGGCTACCTGGCATGGGGTTTGGTTCAAGGGGTTCAAGTGATGCTGTGAAGGTTCCCTTCTTTCCCTTCATGGCGTCAGCCTAGGCTGTCTCTCTGTCTGTCTGTCTGTCCGGGCCCCCTTTGGGTGGCACTACATCCTCATAGGGGGTTCACCACCAGTCTGCCCCACTTCCTCCCCTCGCACCTCCAGGGTCGGGGCAAGAAGAGCAGTGGGGGCCGGTGTCGAGGCCTCCCGGGGAGCTCCGGGGGTGCCCAGGGCTCCTCGTCGGCGGGGGCGTGTGCAGGTGAGGGGCAGTGGGCGGGGGCTGCCGGCCCTCTCCCCCCGGCAGCATCCCGCAGCTGCCCGGCGGCAGGAGGGGCGGGGATGTCCGCAGGATACAAATAGCGGCGCGCCGTCCCTCCCGACGCCTCTCCGAGCTGTGCCGGCCGCTCGCCAGCCCTCTGCCTGCTCCCTGCTCCGGCCTCGCCTCCCCACGCCGCCACCATGAGCCAGTCGTACTCCTCCAGCCAGCGGGTCTCTTCCTACCGCCGCACCTTCGGCGGCTCCCCGGTGTTCCCCCGAGCCTCCTTCGGGAGCAAGGGCAGCAGCGGCAGCTCCGTCACCTCCCGCGTGTACCAGGTGTCGCGCACCTCGGCCGTGCCCAGCCTGTCCACCTTCCGCACCACCCGCGTGACGCCGCTGCGCACCTACCAAAGCGCCTACCAGGGCTCCGGGGAGCTGCTGGACTTCAGCCTGGCCGATGCCATGAACCAGGAGTTCCTCCAGACCCGCACCAACGAGAAGGTGGAGCTGCAGGAGCTCAATGACCGATTCGCCAACTACATCGAGAAGGTGCGCTTCCTGGAGCAGCAGAACGCGCTCATGGTGGCCGAGGTGAACCGCCTGCGGGGCAAGGAGCCCACCCGCGTGGCCGAGATGTACGAGGAGGAGCTGCGGGAGCTGCGGCGCCAGATCGACGTGCTCACCAGCCAGAGGGCGCGTGTGGAGGTTGAGCGTGACAACCTGCTCGACGACCTGCAGAAGCTCAAGCAGAAGTGAGTAGGGAGGGCTCTGGAGAGTCCCTGTGGGCATCCATCAGTGCATCTCCATCCCTAGGGGTGGGTGGGAGCAGGGCTTGCCCAGGCAGCTCTTCAGGTGCTGTCTGCCACCCTCGTGCCTTGTGCCCAGAGCCCACCATGACCCCAGTACTCTGTTCCTCTTGACCACTGTCTGGGCAGCGCCCACAGGGTAAAGTGGCTCCCAGAGCAGGGGTGTCCCCTGTGCTCTCCCCTGCAGTGAGCCTGAAGCCAGGCTGTAACACCATAGGACTAGGAGATCAAAGTGCATCTCACCCCGGGGTCCCCATCTCTGCTCACATAGGGGAGGGCTGCTGGGCCCATGGATGAGCTGAGCTCTGTGGGATGGATGGACAGACAGATGCAGTCAGACAGGCAGAAGTGGGGAGATGGGTAACCCAGGGAAGGTGCTCTATCAGCTCCAGATGTGAAGGACGGAGGGGAGGCAGCAGCTGCACTTCCACAGGCCAGGGATGCTCCAGGCCTGCCGTGAGTGTCCATGGTGCCCTGTGAGCAGTGGGACACCCCAGAGATGCTGTGGACTTAGCTGGTGCTGTGGAAGAGAGTGGGGATTATCCATGGGGGTGGCCAGGCTGAGGGAACCCTCAGGGACTGATGAGCATGGGGAACCTGGCAGTAGGGGCAGATGCTCAAGGGGAGCTGTGTGTTCTGAAGATGGTCTACACCTTCCCTCCTTGACCCTGTGCCCTGGGGACACCATTCCCTTGGGGTGGCACAGCCTGCTGCCCCTTTCTGTAACCCCAGCCACCACCACAGATGGCCAGCGCTGGGGTCCTCCCTGATGCTGGGGAGCTGGGGGTGGTGGCATGGAGGTACTCTCAGTGACAGGGGAGGAGCAGGGCCCAGAACAAACGGGTGTTGGGTTTCTGCCACCCCATGTGCCAGCACCACCTGGGCGCCTCCATCTCCTCCCCGCTGCCTTTCCACTGACGTGCAGCCTGCGGTACTGTTCCCTTCCTTGACACCAGCCTGGATCTCCAGCCCTGACTGAGCCTCCCCCACAGCAGTCCCCACCTCAGATCCCATCCCAGAGCATTGCTGAAACCTGTCTGTGCTGCTGCTCTCCCTGGGATAGCTCAGCTGGTGGCCATCTCTTGGACTGCCTGTGTCGGATCCTGCGCTCTGTCCCCCCAGCTGCTGGTCACTCTCCCCTATAAGGGCTGGGCAGTGTGCGTGGCACTGAGCTGACCTCATGTCTTTGTGATCTCTCTGGCGTTGACTATAATAGGGAATGGGAGGAAGAGCCCCTGGCCCCCCGCCAGTCCCCTGCTGCCTGCTGGGAACACAAGACAATCTGTTTTCTTCCTACCGGGCCTTGCTGGGCTTAAGGACAGCTCGGGGGGACATCAACACAGAGGGAGGGAGCTCCCTCCAGACCCCCCTAGCCTCCCTTCTCTGCCTACAGGCTGCAAGAGGAGATCCAACTGAAGGAGGAGGCTGAGAACAACCTCGCTGCATTCAGAGCTGTGAGTACCTGTCCCCTTAGGGTGGCATGGGAACCCTACCCTCCTTCCCACCCCCATCTCCCCCCAGCAGCCTGGCCCCAGCACCAGGGCATGGTCCTGGACACAGCTATGCACCTTCCAGCCCTCGTGCTCTCCCTGTCACCCCTCACTATCCCTCATCCTGTGTCCCTCCCAGGATGTGGATGCAGCCACACTAGCACGCATTGACCTGGAAAGACGGATCGAGTCCCTGCAGGAGGAGATCGCCTTCCTCAAGAAGGTGCATGAAGAGGTAGGTCAGAAGTGGCACCCTTTTCCAATGGCACTCACAGGGCAGTGAAAATGGAGTGGGTGCCCTGAGATGTCCCCTTGTCCACGCAGGAAATCCGGGAGCTGCAGGCACAGCTGCAGGAGCAGCACATCCAGGTGGAGATGGACATCTCCAAGCCTGATTTGACGGCTGCGCTGCGGGACATCCGTGCTCAGTATGAGAGCATTGCTGCCAAGAACATCGCCGAGGCCGAGGAGTGGTACAAGTCCAAGGTGCGGGAGGCAGCGGGCTCGGGCTGGCCCCAGCACAGGGGGCTCCACCTCAGGCCATCCCCACTGACCCAGGTGCTCTGTCCCCAGGTGTCTGACCTGACACAGGCGGCCAACAAGAACAACGATGCACTGAGGCAGGCCAAACAGGAGATGCTGGAGTACCGGCACCAGATCCAGTCCTACACCTGCGAGATTGATGCCCTCAAGGGCACGGTGAGCTAAGGGCAGCACTGAGAAATCCCCAGCTTCCCTGCAGGGACCTGCTCCTCCGAGGCTGCTCAGGGACATCTCTGGGGTGGGGGGGCTCTTCCCAGCTCTCTGAGTTGCTGCCACAGGGGGCCTTGTACCCCACATTTGGGCTGCACCTCCCCCAGCAGTAGCCGGGGCTCCTGCAAAGTGTTTTGTCAGAGTCCTGGATTCAAAGTGCAGATTGTAAAATGTGACCCAGCCTGGGAGGCTCCAGGCAGGCGGGCACAGGGCTCAGGGTGTCTGGTTGCAGGCTGGCAAGGTGATTGCAAACAAACAGAGCACAACAGTCCCATTCTGGCACAGTCATGGTCGCAGGAGCCAGCCAGCAGGCACCAGTGCCACCCCCAGGCAGCCATCCAGTGCTTCCGCAGCTCTCTGTGCCCTTTTGCTGGGGTAGCATGGCTTTGCTGGGGGACCTGGGCACCAGAGTGCTGGGGTTGCCCAGTGCATGCCCAGCTTGCCCCCGTGAGTCCCTGGTGCCGAGTGCTGGGCAGGTGGAGGGTTACCGTCACCCATCATGGTCCCACATCAGCTGAACCCAGCCCAGGGCTGACCAGGGCTCTCCCCAGGATGCCCTGGCATCCCCAGCTCCCACCCCAGTGACCCCTGTCTCCTGTGGTTCCCCTGTCTCACTGAGCACCCCCATGTCCCCAGAATGACTCGCTGATGCGGCAGATGCGGGAGATGGAGGAGCGCTTTGCAGGGGAGGCCGGCGGGTACCAGGACACCATTGCCCGCCTGGAGGAGGAGATCCGGCACCTGAAGGATGAGATGGCCCGGCACCTGCGCGAGTACCAGGACCTGCTCAATGTCAAGATGGCCCTGGATGTGGAGATCGCCACATACCGCAAGCTGCTGGAGGGAGAGGAGAACCGGTGAGTGGAAGGGGGGTGGGACATACTGGGGGGAACTGGCAGGGTCAGCGTTTTTTTGGGGGTCCAACTTTATGAGGACACACCTGAGGGTTAGGGCTGGCTGGAACTAAGCTTTCCCCTCTGTGTTCCCACAGGATCAGTATTCCCATGCACCAGACCTTCGCTTCTGCACTCAATTTCCGAGGTGAGTCTCACTCCATGAGGAAGGGGACCTGGGACGAGTCCCTCGTGTTCCCCACTTTTGGGGCAAATGTCTCTCCTGGGGGGGTTGTAGCCAGGCTGGCAGGCTGGGGACACAGAGGTGCCACACAGAGCCCCTCTATGGGGCACTTGTTAGGGTGTTGCTGTGAACTGAGGGGGGATTAAACCAAGGCTGCTGAAGCTCCTCGGTGATGCCAGCCCCACGGCTGTGTCCCCATGCCACACATCCCTGTGGTGCCATCCTCTGTGTCCCTATGCCACACGTCCCTGTGGTGCCATCCTCTGTGTCCTCCCCCTGCAGAGACCAGCCCAGAGCAGCGGGGCTCCGAGGTGCACACCAAAAAGACCGTGATGATCAAAACCATCGAGACCCGTGACGGGGAGGTGAGCGGAGGGTGGCTCCGGAGGGTGCTGGGGAGGGAGGGGCCGAGGACGGCGCCTGTTCCCGCGCCCGGGGCTCTGCTGTGACACGGCATGGTGTCTCACGGTGCCTCTGTCCCACAGGTGGTGAGCGAGGCGACTCAGCAGCAGCATGAAGTGCTGTAGAGGAGGCTGCTCCAGCAGCCCACCGGCACCTTCTGTCCCTGCCTCCGTCCCTCGGCCATGCCCCCCTCCTGCCCCCCAGCTCGCCTCTCGGCGCTCCCCCGACCCTGCCTGAGGAGTCTCCCCCATGCAGCTGCCTCTGGGCCCCCCGCACCCCCTGGGCTCTCTCCTCCGGCTTCTAAAGGCTCGCTCTGCTTTCGCAGCTTTGCAGCAGCAACGCCAGCGTCAGGATCAGGCCGGGGCCGGGGGGCGGCAGGAGGGAGGGACGGGACAGGTGGCAGGGGCTGGGGGGAGCAGGTGGTGGCCTGGGCCAGCTCCACAGAGAGCCGGACGGTCCCAGCAGCGGGTTCTGGATCCCCCCAGAGTCCCCTTCCCACCCTGGGCACAGGCTTGGGGCTCATCCCACCCGAGTGGGGACCCCTCCCCACTCCAGCACCGCCGGCCGCCCCGGAGCTGGCATTTCTCCAGGTGCACGGCGGCGATGCTAGGGATGGGGAGAAGCTAGGCATGGTCTGGGCTGAGCCCCCTCTTCTCTGCCCAGCTCAGAGAGGGGGGCCCAGCCTGTGCATCCCCCCAGCCCAGGGGGGCTCGGCCCTTCGCTCCCCCCGGCCCCAGAGGCAGCCCCGTGGGGCAGAGGAGGGCAGTGCCCACCCCTCCCCGTGGCGGGGACCCCCAGCAGCAGGAGGCTGCACCGTGGGGCCAGGCTCATCAGCCGAGAGGGTACCCGTAGGTGGACACAGGAGAGAGGAGGAGTGAGTGAATGGGAGAGAGGGGGGAGACGATGAGAGGAGCCGGAGAGAGGCCCGGGGGGCCAGGGCAGGCATCCCCAACCCTTGCCCCACGCACCCCCACCCCACCACGTGTATGAGACTCTTCAGGCGGCTGAAATAAACAGCGGAGCATCACCCTGTGGTCTCAGTGCATCTCTGGGGCAGAGAGGGGCTGGGGTGGTGGGGAGCAGCACCTGGGGGAGGCATCACAAGGGCAGGTGGATGGATGAGCCAGCAGCTCTTTGGACTGTCTGCTCCCTAGGCTGCTGGGCCCCCCAAAAGGTGTGTGTTGCTCTCGCTGAAGGTTCTCGAGCATTTTGCTGCCTGAGGTGATGGGTTTCCCAGTTGCACTGGGTGGGAAAGTCCTGCTGGGACAGGGAACAGTGACAGCTAAGCCCTGAGCAGGTTTGAAGGGGCTCTGGGTGATGGTTCTGTGTCTTCCTCACACACCCAGGGTCCCATACCATGTCCTGGTGGCTCTCAGATCCACAGCCACCTCCTTTATACCCCTACTTAGAACCAACCCAAATCCACATCTGCCTGGGACTTTTCCAAGCCCCTCCAAGTGTCACCAATCTGCAAGCAGAGCCATCCTCATTCCTAAGTGTCCTACACGCTGTGAGCATCAGACCCAGCACCCTGTGCTTGCATCCCAGGCTCAGCCTCCAACCTCAGCCTGCCAACACCGTATGCTCTCTTCATCCCAAAACACATGCCCCTCTCCCTGTGCTCAGGTTGTGGGTATCTTGGTTTCAGCTCCTTCATCCTAGCAATGGGGGATGCTGCAGTGGAGCCCAGAGCTGAACATCCCATGTGGGAGAGCAATTCAGGATTGCTCTGCCCTAGGAGATATTGGAGGGTCCACAGAACTCTGCCAGCAGCAGATGCCAGGGGGGCAGTGGGCTTGGCACTTGGTGATGTTTTAGGGACAAGGCGTGTGCTACTGCCAGCAGTGGGGAGTAGTCCGGGCCCGTGCCTGATGGAGAGGCCAGCTGGGAGGTGTTGGATCTCAACGGATGTCTCCAGCAGGTGGCCCTGTGACATCGTGGACAGTCCCCAGGTTGCATGGGTTGGGATGACACCTCCCTCCCTGCCGGCCCAGGCTGGCTGTGCCAGAGTGCAGCCCCTGGGGGCAGGCTGGGGACAAACATTCCTTTGCCTGCAGGGCAGGGAAGAGGCCCCTAGGCCTCTTCTGGGGCTGGCTCCGCCACTCTGCAGCCAGGCTGTGGTTCTAGCCAGGCATCCCATCCCAGTCCATTGTGCCCCAGCCATCCCAGCTGGGAAATCCTGGGATTTCCTCCTTGCCAGTGATGCTCCACTGATGCTGGCACCCTTGGGCTGGTGGCAGCGGGCTGTGCCAGAGCAGCCGGGGCTGGCCTGCAGCTGGGAAGCGCCGTGTCGTGTGGCTGGCCTCCTGCTCACGCAGATTTACAGCCCCTGGCGCAGCGGCTGAGGCCGGGTGCCGAGGCTGCCGAGGCTCCAGGAGATGGGGAAGCCCTGCCATGCCCAGGATGGCCTGGCAGCACCTGGCACAGACCGTGCCTGACTGCTCGCTGCCCGGAGCCCGCCGTGTGGTGGCTCCCACAGGATGCCCCAAGGCCGAGCAGCTCCAGCAGGGCTGGCGGGAGCCACACTGCCCAGGGAAGAGGCAGGGGCCCAGTGAGAGAAATGGAGTCCTGCTGTGTTTGCAGCCTTCCTTCCGGGCAGGGAGGATTGTGGCGGTCAGGGATGCTGGGAGCCCCAGCTCCGCGGCCTGCTGGGATCGGAGCTGAGGGGCCCTGAGGGCTGGCTCCTGCCGCGGGCCTTGCGTTGCAGGAAGCATGACGGTGTCCTTTCCCTCCGCATGCCGTCAGGGTCCCTCCGTGCCCCGATCCAATGACACCGCCGGCGAAGGGGAAGCGGGGGAGGAAGGCTGGGTCCCCCCCGAGCCTCTCAGCTAATATGGAAAGGTGCTGGCCCTTTCCTATCTTTGCAAGTGGAGCTGGGCTGCAGGGACGGGGCAGCAGGCGCGGAGAGGGGGAGCCCGGCCAAGGAATGTGACATATCAGAGGCAGCTGCCACTTCAGGAGAGGGGGCAGAGGGAGCGCAGCTCGCCGGGGGCTGCGGGACGGGCCGGGGGAGGGGGGGACGCCACGGCCCCAGCGCGGGGACGGCGCGGCGACCGGGCAGCACCCGCGGGACTCGCACCGGGCCGGCGAGGAGCAGGTGCCGAGGCGCTGGGCGGGCTGGGGCTGCCGCAGGGCGAGGGCTGTGAGCGCCACGCTGCACAGGGTGCTCGGTGAGGGGCGGCGGGGCGAGCAGGAACCCGAGTCCCAGCCTAAATATAGTCCCTCGCTTGCCCACGGTGCTGCGACCTCTGGGGCTGCAGCCTGTGGGGGGAGGCACCGCACCGGAGGGCATTCGGGCTGGGGGTCGCCACTGCCCCAGCGCCCCAGTCAGGCACCCCCAGAGTGCAGGCAGGGGGAGAAGAAGGGCACAACGTGCGGGTCTGGGGTGACAAGGGCGGCGGGTGGTGCTGGGGGAGCTGCAGACCATGCACCGGGCACAGGGGCGCAGCGGCACCGGCAGGGCTGCTGGGGAGCCCCGGGCAGCCCCGCCGAGCCCCGGCATCCCCCCGAAGCGCGCCAAGGTCACAGCGGAGCCGGGGTCGGCCCAGGAGGGCTCAGCTCGCCCGGCAGCGCCGAGCTTTGTGAGGAAACTGAAGAATGCAGCGATCGGCACCGGCTGTGACATCCGGCTGCGAGTGGTGGTGGTGGGCAACCCCCGGCCCAGCCTCCGCTGGTACCTAAACGAGGAGCAGCTGGCGCAGGGTGGGGAGGAGTATGGCACCCTCTGGATCCGCGACAGCAAGAAGGAGGATGCCGGTGTGTACACGTGCGTCGCCGAGAATGAGCAGGGAGAGGCCATGACCAGCGCTGTGCTGGCCATCATTGACATGGAAGGTAAGGGTGACGTGGCCACAAGCACGGCACCAGTGCTGGCACAGACCTGGGCACAGGTTTGCTGAGAGTGGCAGCACTGTTTGCAGGCTCTTGCTGCAGTGCATGCCCTGGGGCCAGGCAGGGCTGCTGGGCTTTGCTGTGCCCACCCTGCTGTGGTGGCTCTCCAGGCTGGAGCGAGCATGTGGCTGCAGTACCCCCTGCCAGGCCAGGCTGGGTGCCAGGCCTGGGCACAGAGGTGTTGGGAGCATGTGATGCCAAGGCTGCTCGGGGCAGGAGGAGAGAGAGAGAAAAGAGAGAGAGAGAGAGAGAGAGTTGGGGATTTGGCACATGGTACTGGTGGTACCACCCACCAGAGCCACCAACACGGTCCTCAGCAACCCCACCAGCTGCCCACGGGCAGAACTCCCGTAGGGTCAGCATAACAGCTTTACCAGGCTTTGGAAATGCACTGGGTGAACTGGAACGGCAATGGGGCTAGCAGGAGGAGGAGCCTAATGTGAGAGGTGGGGCTGGCAAGTAGGCGGAGCCTGTGCCACTTCGATGTGCGATACCGGGTAGTTAATTAGCCAAGGCAAATTAACAAGCGTTTGCTCATCCCAGTGGCAGCCCCCCTGCTCATCACCATCACCCCTGGGTGCAGCAGTCAGAGAGGGAGTGCATGGGCACTGCTGCCCTGGCATGGGTGGGCTTCATCCTGCAGGTTTAAGGCTCAGCCCCCTCTGCCTCATCACTGTGGAGTCATTCAATCATAGAGTTATTTATGTTGGAAAAGACCTCTAAGATGATCAATCCAACCCTTAACCCAGCACTGCCAAGCCTACTGTTAAACCATGTCCCTAAGTGCCGCATTTACGTGTTTTCTAAATATCCAGCGATGGTGACTCCACCACTTCCCTGGTCATTCTGTTCCAGTACTTGACAACCCTTTTGGTGAGCAAATTCTTCCTCGTGGAGGATGGATGTCCCCTCCCTGGGACACTGAAGGCCTGAGTGTTGGGCAGTGTGGAGGTGGGTGGCGCTGCTCTGAGATGTGAGATGTGCTGTCTGCATGGGATAGCGAGGATGGGAGTGAAGGAAGCAGCACTGAGCCCTGAGGCTCCAGGGAAGGAGCTGCCCTGGGACTCTGCAGCACAGGAGGCACACCAGAGGTGCTGCACCTTGAGTAGGGGGCTGGATGACTGAGGCAGGTCAGGAGGAGCCGTCACAATGCTGAAGGGGAGCACTGACCCAGGAGTGTGGAGAAGTGGTGTTTGGAGGATGGAGGAAGGTTTATGTGCAGGTCAGGAGCCTGGCAGGGTAGCAGGAGGAGCAGAGGAGTGTGCAGCAGGGATTCTGCC